AACAAATAAAAATTAGAGTACCATATTAAATATTTTTCAAAAGTTGAGGGGGGCGGCTGCCTCCCCTTGTCCTTCATTGGCTTCGTCCCTGCATGTAGAAATAAAGGAATCGATGGAGCTTGAAACAGAAGTTATCTCACAAGTTGAAAAGAGAATCAACTTGTACTAATACACAATACGTATGTGCCTCCCATAGTGTCAAATGCATAGTCTCTTTTGCCTTTTCAACTAATTAACTCCAATGATGTATGTGTACCTTTAAACAAGAATGGATCTTTAGAGATGATCCAATTTAAAATCAATTGCGACAATTAACAGTAGGTTTATAACTTTATATCTTTGTATCTTTTCTTACTAGTTTATCAAAACAAAATAACATTGGCAGCATTGTTTTCAAAACTAAACCAAAGGTCAAACCATTTTGATCTTTGGTTTACGGTTTGGTGGTTGAACCGGTTTGATCAGTAAAAAAACCGGGTTGATTGAATTTTGATGATATATATTAAATATAATATAATACAACACATTTCAGAATGCTAGAAGTAGCTCCAGTGGTGGGGAGTCTTTATTAATTTCACATAAAACTTGAGTTCAAATCCAAGTGTGTCAAATTTATTCATTTATGTAATTCTATTATAATAGATAAATCTCAAAGCATTATTAGTCAATAAACTAGGTTAAGATCAAGTGGCACAAGTTGTTTTAGATAGGTGAGAGGTTAAGTGTTCGAATTCTTATGGAAGTAACTTTAGGATTTTCCTTTAGTCTTTCTAATGTTCTTTAAAATAAAGTCTTTGTAACCCATTTCACCAAAGATTCTGATGCTCTGGTAGCGAAAAAGTACTCAAAACCTAAGGAAGTTTGGTGCTCGACACCCAACGACAGCACCAAATCTCTCAAAATTTGTTCCAATAGTTGGCCCAGCCGGTTGGATAGTTCACCAATTCTTATCAGTTTAGACAGGTTGAACGGTTTTAAATGGTTTAATCTCCTAAATGGTTTTAACTATCAACTCAGCCCGTTTCTAAAATCGAATATCGGTTTGATTTGTTCAACCGACCAATCCAGTCTAATTTTCAAAACAATGATTGGCAGAGCTAGGAGGGACTGGGGGTCTCATGTCCCCCTAAACTTTTGAGAAAAAAATAGTTTTAATACCATGAGTTTTATTTCAATCATTTTCATCCGTGTATTTTTTTCAATTTCATCCTATTGTAGTCCCTTAAAAAAAAAAAAATCATTTAAAAAAAAAAAGAGAGAGAGCAAAACGGAAAAGGGCAGGGTTAAAAGGGATTCTTCTTTATGTCAATGCTCTTTCCTCCATTGTACACTTACTTAAATGATCAACTAAAAGGGGATATGGTATTATATTTTTGCAGCCATTTTTCCAATTGGATGCCTAATATTAATACCTGTAGGCTGTAGCTTTATACAAGGTGTTATTTGACAGAGGGTACGTAGGGTCAGGCATAGGAGGATCCTTTTTCCGTCGGAATTATTATGCAATCTTAAATAATTAATATCATATTATTTTTATATAATTATTTATTATATTTTTATATTATTTTTTAAAAATTTTAATTTTTTTATTTTTTAATAAATTAAAAAATATAATAATTAATTACAATTAAAAAAAATATGG